TCCATCAGTGCGGCTCATCCCGGACAGCTCGAGTGCAGCATCAACGGCGGCTCAGACTCACCACGCACCGCGCACGCCGGCGCCGCGTGGACACGGCTCACGGGCATCAACTCACCAGGCCGGCCATCGATCAATAATATCGACCCGTGCACGTGAATACAGACTTATCATACCGAATTGACTTGTATCGACTTCTCAGATCTCACATTTACAGACTTTTACATTTGCCGAAACTTTCACATGTAATTCGTTAAAGTATTAAACCTGTGACATTTCATTTTACATCAACTCGTCCGAGTCTTTAGATCACGTGACGTTCCACCCTAATTAAGCGTGCATTCGCTCCTTGAGTCTTGTCGCTACGTCCTCTCACCCTGCTTCCATCCGCAGCGGTACCAGCGAACTCTCCTAGCGAGAATCTCCAACATTTTTGGTCCTTCGAGCCGGATAGCGACGGGGCTCTTGGACGGATCAGCTCAGCCACGCATCGCTCACGTGATCAGCAGCGCTCATATACACAGTGACACTCATCGATCACGAGATACCACGTCTCTCTCACGTGTCATCTCACCATGTCGGACGATCAGAAAACGGGCAAGGCGGACCGCCCGGTGACTCAGCAACTGGAATTGCGGCCGGGAGATCGCAGAGGTGCGAGCAGAGGTGCGAGAAGCACTTCAAGACTACACACTCTCGTGATTCTTCAGAGAGGTACATCGTCAGGATTCTACTCAATTCACCAGTAGATCTTTTGGGTGATTCTTACAGCGTCGCTCATCAATGTCTGAAGGGATTACGCAGACGATTCTCAAGGGATGTGAATTATCAACGTCTCTATCAACAATTCATGATTGATTACGAGACACTCAACCACATGACGAAGGCATCATCCATCTCCAGTCATCGCTCACATTTTCACCTGACACATCACGGTGTTCTCAAGCCGGACAGTATTACAACGAAACTGCGGGTGGTTCTTAATGGCTCTAGCGCATCCACATCAGGCTACTCTGTCAACGACCTCATGTACACTGGAGCAAAATTACATCTGAACATCTCAGAGGTTCTACCATGGATACGTAGACATCGTCACATGTTCGCTACGGACATCACCAAAATGGACAGACCGATTCAGACTCACAAGGATGACTGGGAGTTACAGCGGATACTCTGGATGGACAATCAGCTCAATGAGGTGCCATATCATTCAACAAAGG